CTAGTATTACGACGACGACGACGACAACGAAGACGACGACCACTGCAACAACAACAACAACAAGAACTACTACTACTACTACTACTACTACTACTACTACTACTACTACTACTACTACCGCTACTACTGCCTTTACTACTACGAATCGCGTTGTCTTGGCCTCTGCCCAGATCCTGGGCCCTATGGATCCCACTTTGCAGCACTTGCTCTTCAGACCAAGCTGGCCCGGTTCCGAAGGAACCGTTTCGTGATTTATTCCTATCTATGTAGGCATTCAGGACCAGTTCTACAATGGTTGCATATGGATTATAAACCCTAAGCCCTAAACCCGAAAACCCGACAACAACAACAACAACTGCGCGCCGGGAGCTGGCCCAAGACTCTGCGAGTAGTATGAAACTCAGAGGGCTGAACAAGTAGTGTTCGAAGTGCAGTGCCGAAAGTCATATATATATATATATATATAAAGGGTTTAGGGTTTCGGGTTTAGGGCATATATACATCTAGCACAACTCAATCAATGGAAGGTGCATATTTCAACAGCTACCCGAACAGTCCAGTATTTTGGCCCCAAATTCCGATCAATCAGCCCATGTGCGTAGCCCGCCTCAGTGGGATAATTGGTCAGAAATCTCGGAAACACATCGCAGTGAGAAAAGATCCTATCAGCGGAACCACCTAGTGAGCCTTCATTGCTCCTGGAATCACGACAAGCAGGCAAGCATAAGTGGCGTGAAACTTAGCGCGTCGGCCATACCTGCCACAGATCATGCCGTCCACAGGTCGGGTGCATGGCATTCCCGAGATTTGCAATGTCGCGGTGCTGTAGCACGCTGTAGCCTGAGTCGTGTGTTGCTAGTCACTAGTCGATTACCCAAGCTACCGCCAGATCTTCGAAAAATCTTGTCAGTCCAGCTGGGTTTGTGCTCAAGTCCAGTCTGCCAGTTTAGAAATTTCTCGAGGTGGCCGGCTGTCGACAAAACATGATCGAGCCTTTAACTCCCGAAGAATGCCCACTCCTGCCCACGATTCCAAAGCCTTCGGCAACAGCTGTGTTCGATTTGGTTTGAATCCATATCTTGTGGCCTGTAAACATGCTTTGCTGGACGACCAAACCGATACCAATAGCACTGACCGCCAATACCGTTGATTCATTGCTCCACGTTTTCACCATGACCAGGAATTTTCAGCTATGCCCAAACTGCTTCAGCACTAATTGTCATTGCTACTGGTCTAACTTCTAGAAGGTCTCACATCCAGACTCCCTCAAGGCTCTTACCAAATCAACAGCCTGTCCTAGAACCTAAGCCATAAGGCACCCCAACTTCAGAGACCCAAAAGACAAACACCCTAAACCCTAAACCCTAAACCCTTGTTGCTTCCCTGAGCTGACCCTGAGAGAGGCACCGTGAAGTCCTTCAACCCTGCGAAGGCGTCTTTCTCTTGCGGCGCTGTGCGTTCGTAGGCTTAGTAGTAAAGTTTGAATAGTAGATATGCCAACAATGGTAATAATAATAATCATAATAATAATCATAATAAGAATACTAATAATAATAATATAAGAATAATAATAGTAATAGTAATAGTAATAGTAACTGCTATCATCATTAGTAACAATCTTTCATAGGAGGCTTCAGGGCCATGTGACGCTGAGGGTTGCATGGAGGGGTTTTGAGGCTGCCGGACTAGGGGGCAGTGAGTCAGGGTATAGGAGCAGAACGGGAGCAACACCCGAAAACCCTAAGCCCTAAACCCCAAACCCTAAAACCCAAAAACCCAAAACCCCTAAACCCCTAAACCCCTAAACCCCTAAACCCTAAACCCCTAAACCCCTAAACCCCCAAGCCCTAAGCCCTAAACCCTAAACCCAAGATCCCTGAGCCCTCAGACAGGATTCTGCACTCAACCTGAAGCTCGATGCCCTAAATCCTATAGCCCTACCCATAGGCCCCATAGTAGGGTCTAGGATTTAGGGTTTAGGGTTTAGGGTTTAGGGTTTAGGGTTTAGGGTCTAGGGTTTAGGGTTTAGGGTTCCTTTTCGTGGCTTTTCTTTAAGATCCTGTTCGGTAATCCCAAAAAAGGAACTACCATGGGGCCTATGGGTACATCGTGCACCCGAAGCCGAAGACCTCGCACCTGACCTGAGGCCCTAAGCCGGTCCTTCCAAAGCAGCGGAAGCCAAGCCCGAATCTAAGGTTGAACCCATGGGCCCCTAACATGGGCCCTTAGGGGATTCTAGGGTCCCTTAAAGGTATGTATCTGTATATGTGTATATATATATATATAGAGTATATAGTAGGTATATTAGGGTCCCAGGGGTAAGGGCCCATACTAGGGGCCCATGGGTTCTACCTTAGACCAAAGCAAGAATCTGACTCTGCATAATGTAGGGGCCTTAAGAACTGGAATAAGGTTTTGGGCCCGCTCCTTATTTTAGCTCTACTATAACAGAGCCCAAAACCCTATTCTAATTTTGTCAGGCCCCTATATTAGAGTTGCCTTCAGGGGTCCTTCCCTAGGGGTCGATGACGGCTACGCAGAAGTTTGGGGTAGGAGCCGACATTTTTCGAACAGGGTTCCGTGGTCTATTGTAGTATAGTTATGAAAGGGTGTATGAAAGGATGCTACTAGCTTATATTCAGGCTCGTACGCAACGCAACCCTTGTGTTTGCAACTATTGAGCTGCTGTTGCTTTGATTCTTGATGCTATTAAACGATGGCTAGTGACACTGTTACTACCACCTACTACTACTGCTACTGCTACTACTACTACTACTACTACTACTACTGCTACCTCTATTGTTATGATTACTTTGTTTCGTCCAATCAGTCCAATCATAACAACTATTGTTCATGTTATGATAACTGTCAGCAGTACTAATAATCAGTAAAATTACTGCTATTGCTTTATATCAGTTTTTGGTGCTGTTTCGGTCACTGTGTTTCTCTCACTCTCACTGTGGCATCACAACTAGCCCAACGACAGCACTCCCATTATCCCGATGGTGATGGATGAGCAGTGCCACTCAGATCATCAACCTGCTCTGTTGCGGAGGTTTGGGCTGGGCATTCGGTGTTCTGTGACGGTCTAGAGATTTAGGGCTTGCTCTTTGCATGCAATAAAAGACTGTATTACTCGAAAAGTCATAGGGTTTTGGGTCAAGGGCTTTAGGGTTTTGGGTTAAGGGCTTTAGGGTTAAGGGCTTAGGGCCCTAAACCCTAA